AAAGAGAAGAAAGGGGAAAAAAAAAAAAAAAAAAAAAAAAAAAAAAAAAAATTTTCCCCCCCCCTCTTGTTTCCCTTGGAAATTTTCAAATCCTTTTCAATATCCCTTTCGAAGCCAAACTGCTTGAACCAAGCTGAGGCGGTTGGCAGCCATGGTATTCTGCTTCAGACGACGATAAGGCCTGCCGTTGTTGTTTTTTTTGAGCTCCAAGACACTGGGTACATGAATCCAAGCATGAAAAAACCTGACCTGAAAATTGCTTTTTCTTCTATCCTTTTCCACAGAAATTTAAGCCCAATCGCTTATCCGTAAATTCCTTTTAACTTTGAATTCTGAGCTTAGATGTATACCAAAAGGGTCCCCAAAATTTTAAAGTTCCAGCAAACATATGCGCAGAATTCTTCTTGCTGCCTCCACAGATGCTGGCTTTTGGAAAGGACTGTGCATAAACCTGGAAACCAACTCCAACAGAGAAGGCCTAACATCTGGCCTTGTGTGAGCATAAATAAAATTCATTCCCACCTACTAAAGCTTCTGTATAAATTTCCCTCATCTGCAAGATTCTGAACCATCATTGACTTGAAACTTCCTCATTAATATTCCAATTGGCGTTGTGGGTGGAGTTAAGTTTTAGCATATACAATCTTCGAACGAAGGTAATTGCATAACTTCTTTTGAGAATAAAAATCCATCTGCCTGTTTGTGAATCTCCATGCAAAGAAAGTAACGAATCACCCAAATCTGTCATCTCAAAAAGCTTTCATCATATTTTCTTTACTCAAAAATAAAGAAAGATGATGATCCAATGTAAAATCATTTCATCTACATACAAACATACTAAAGCAATCTTTCTCTTGTTTTTTTAGATAAAGGGTTGGCTCATTTCACTTTCTACAAAGGCCAAGAAATTTTAGAAAATAAAGAGTCAATTTTACTGGTCCAGGTCGGCCGGCGCTTGTTTAAGCCGTAGAGAGCTTTTTTAACTTTGTATACCTTTACTTTCCTTTCCTTTGGATTTTAAACGAACCCTTCTGGGTTGTATACATTTTAAACTTTCTTCTTTCAGGTCACCGTTTAGAGAAGGCGGACTTACATCAAATTGATAAACCGCGCACTTGCAGCTGTGCAGCAATGCTAAAACCAATTTCTTGACAGGTTCCAAGCGCACGAACAGGGGAAAGGTTTCTTTCGTAATCAATACCTTGCTGTGTTACACATATCCCTTAGTAAAAGTCGAGCTTTTTATGCTTTTGAATGCTCCCATCAGCTTTGTACTTTGTTTTGAGAAACGCCATTCAACCCAATTGCATCTTTTTCCATCCACGGTTAATTACACAACATCCCATGCAATTTTTTTCTCAATAGTAATGAATTTCTGCTTCCATTGCGGTACGCTATCTTCACTATCGCTGCTTCTTTCAATGATGATGGATACACTAATTGCAAACATTTGGGCCAAATTGAACTAAATCTCCTTCTGGCAGGTTGATGGCATCATCTTGAAACACCTCAAAATTCCTTAAACGTGAAGATGGTTTGATGTTGTCGCTCGGCTAGTCCTGATTGGAAGGCACTTGAGACAATAGGTATCTCTTTTTCCACAAATCCTCCCTCGTCAATAGGGAATTTTTCAGCAGTGGTGGTTATTTTTGAACTTGACTTTCATCCCATCTCCAGCTTGGCTAATTCATCAAAGTATAACATTTCTGCGATAATAATTTTTGGCCACTTAATAGGATTGTAACAACTATAAGCTTTGGATTGTGACGAATAACGCAACAAAATCACTTTTCAGACTTGCCAATCCTAGTTTTTGTCGTTTTTTGTTGGTTAATTAAGGTATAGGCCAATACAACCGAAAAGAATTTTCAGGTGGCTGACATGAAAAGGCCTTCATACCTGACCAAACCTCGATAAGGTGTACTGTTCCAAACAGCTTTGTAGGGAGATATATTCAACAAATAAACTGATGTAGCTAACTGCTTCCGCCCATAAATTGTTTGGAAGATTTTTGGCCTGCAATACTTCTCGCATTTCAACAATATGTAAACGATTTTTCCGCTCTAGCAATGCCATTCTGCTCTGGTGGTGTAAGGAAGCTGTCATTCCTCCGAATGCCATTATTTAGCAAAATGAATCAAAATCAGCAGATAAGAATTCCTCCTCCCGGTCTGTGCGAAGAGTTTTTGATGGGTTCTGGCTGCTTGTTTTTCAACTAAAAGCTTTTGGACACTTCTGAAAATTTTGGAAGTTTCTGGACTTGGTAAACCTGAAAATACACCCAACTGAAACGACTACAGTGCATCAGTAACACAAAAAATATTGATCTCCCTCCAATAGATTTTGTTTTTGCATGGGTCCACACAAATTTTGCATGTACTACATTCAAGACATTCAGATGCTCTCCAAGACTTTCAAAGGAATGATTTTTCTGCTCTATTTTCCCGTAGATAACAACCTTCACGATAACCAATTTGGCAATTCTAGGCAACGCCATAAACCATTTCCTTTTTTACTCAACAATTTTAACGCCTTCCACATTTAAGATGACATTAACCTCAGGTGCCACAGGTAGAGTCATGTAAGGTTCATTGTAGGCTAACTAAAGCACAACTTTCACCTCCAGACAGACATCAAGGGAAACAAAATTATTTTGAGCGCCATGGGAGCACTAACAATAGATTTTGGCCAGATTTTTTTATCTTTTAATCTCGCACGATTATTATCAATAAAAACTGAATACCCCTTGTTCATTTAATTGGACCAACGCACAGCAAAATTAATTTGTCAGAATTGGGTGCAAAATAAACATCATCTAGGTAATTTTCACATTACCGTTTGACCGGAACTGCAAATAGAGCGATTCCTTCCACTTTTATCTTGGTGGTCCATTACCAAGCTTTTAACTTTCCTTTTGAAGTTTCATTGAGCGATGTGAATGCAGCCTTTTCACCCCGACATGTGGTTGTGAGACACTGTCAATGAAAACACACCTCAGTTGGCACTTTCACCTGCCACTCTTGCTCCACTCTTGGGCCATGAATAATTTTTTTTCTTGCCTCATACTTTCCTGCATAACTTGCCTTTTCTTTTCTTTTTCCGACTGCCAACAATCTGCCCTTTCACATGGCCGCATAACCTTTGCAATGATACATTGAACATGCTGCTGTATGCGCTCTATTCACCACTTCTTTATGATCATCATGCTCATAAGATTCTTCCTTTGCCTCTTCCTCTTCCTTGGCACTGCCTCTACCGCTGCGTCCCTCTGTTATGTTTCGTTTCCTCTACCAGCCGTTCTTGAGTCACCGAATGATGAGAAGCTTTTAACCTGAAATGCTTATCTCTAATTTTCCACGGAAGATCTGCTGTTTCATTCTTGCTTCAATGAGATGGCAATGACCCTTTTGAGATATCAAAAGGTAGAGTAGACAAGTCCTGTGGATTCTTCTATAGAACAGCTACATGGTCCAAATCTAGGAGTTAAACTCCTTAGAAGTTTCTCACAACAATGTTGTCAGCAGGTTTTGGATCAGTATTTTTTTTCACCAATTAGTGATCTCCAATTGATTCACAATTGTGGACATCTAGAACAATAAACCTTGTTCGTCCGTTCATTTTCGGTCATCAAAATTAAATTCTGCAAATTCACGCGTAGTGTTTGAAAAAGTTTTGACCGTCAAGGAAGTTTATTTCCTTGATATTCAGTTTCTGCAATATCTCATGCTTGCTTGGAAGTATTTGTCCTGCGCATCCGTTCGAGAAAGAGGTTGGGGGAATTCATGAACAGGGTCCTGGGTTTGAATGCTGAATGAACAACTTGTTGAATGCTGTATAAGGCCGTGTTATCCTTTTTCTTGTTCTCTTTCAGCCTTGCTTCATCAGTGTCAGGATCTGCAAAACCTCTTTCAACTAATTCCCATACATCTTGGGAATTAAAGAGTGCCTTCATTTTGATGCTCCAAAACTCATACTTCTCTCCATTGAAGATGGGTATGAGTGGCTGCATGGAAGAGGAAATACCATTCACAGCCATGACCTAATTTCCTATTGTATTTCACTCCCTTACGTGTCTCTCTCTCTCTCTCTCTCTATTTTTACTCACACTAGCCCAGTCAAGAATCAAACTAGGCTCTGATACCACAATGTTGGGCAAAACTAGAAACTTGATAACTGCAATGCAGGATAAAAACAAGAACTTGATATCTGCAGTTGTATCAAGCTAAACAAAGTGAAAGAAACTGAAACTGAAATACAATAAATGATAGAAAGAAAATGAAGAAAACCACACTTTTGGATGATTAAACACAGAGAGTTGAAGGCTTATTTATAGCCATACTCTAAACAATAATAGTAGATAAATATGGCACTAACAGTAACATGACTTGACCTTAACAAACTATCAGATAAAATAGTAGAACTAATAGCAAATATCTAAACTGAACAGATTATTATTTGAATCAATCTTTAACAGATAATTCCAATGATGATATTTTCTCTTACAAAATGACAATCTATTTTTATATGTTCAATTCTTTCGTGAAAAACAGGATTGTTGGAAATATGCAAAGTAGATATGTCAGCACAAAATAGAGAGACAAGATCTTTATGAAAACATAAATGAGTTTAAATGAAAATGGAAAATTATTGTCACTTACTACCTGATGAAAAGGATAAAGAAAATAACTCTGACATATGGAGCAATCCTGACAGGAAGAGAATCAATAGCAAAGTGAGCCGAATGGAGAATATAAAGCAGCAAATGAAGTACAAAAACTAGTAGGCAAAAGACTTGAAAACACATACCAAAAGACAAAATTTGATGAAGTAAGATGAAATATTATCACAGAAGTTTTCACTTCGAAAGGGAGATGAAGCCATGATATGGAAAATGCAAAGACAGATTTTGATGCAATGCAATAGTCTAGAGGAGAACGATTTTCGATGCCAGCAATCAAGAAGAAATCAATCAAAATCAATAAATTCATTTTGTTGGTGTAAGTGTCAGTGTTACTTGAACCACAAAAATCAATAGAATTAAGCAGTCCAGGAGAAAGAAGAAACAAAAATAAGACCAAAAGAAAGATTTCAAGTGGACAGGCAGGAATCACAATTGAGTTTTAAGGTTATTTTTGTTTTAGCAATCCTTTAGTTATTGTACTTGCAGCTTGACATGGAACAAAATAAATGAGGATTGACAGCTTGATAACAAAGTACAAATTTAATTCTGATAGTTTGATCAAAATGAGTATGACTAACATACCACAAAAAACCTCAAATATACATAATTTTGCAAGCAAAAACAGTAAAATTTCAAAATTTTCACAAAAGCATCAGTCTGTTTACAAACAAGCATTCATCACATATGGAGAATTTATGATTGAAGACATAACACTAACAACATTAGCATAGAGCCCATTAGTAACAAAATAGTAATTTCATTTCTAAAAGGGCCAGTCTCTACACCTTGTATTTAGCAACCTCTTCACTCCCTTCCTTGAGATCATCCTTGGAGAAATCTTGATAATTCATTTTATGCGAATCTGGGTTAAATTTGCCCTAAAGTTAAAGACAAGTTTGATCGTTCATAATCAACATATTCAAGATAGTGATTTTTCCAATTATTACTATAACAGCAATGCCAAACAGATCAACTAACAAAATAGAAATTCATAATCAACATATTCAAGATAGTGATTTTTCCAATTATTACTATAACAGCAATGCCAAACAGATCAACTAACAAAATAGAAAAATTCTATTTCAGAATCTATAATAACATTATAGCTTTTAAGGACCAATTACTTGAACTGGCCATCTAGCATCGTAAGTATACCATGTTGTTCCAAGCTCTTGCATAGTTCATCTGTCAACAACTTTAAGCTCTCAACTATGTCCACATATTTCTGATCAAACAAAACAAAAGGAAAGAGTAAATATATCACTTTGTTCAAATTCTCTTACTGAAACCTTTAAGAAAATAAGACAGCAATTTTGGTTTCTAATGCATCAATGTCCACTCTTAATTCTTTAATCTGATTCACTCCCTCTGGAAAAAGAAATTTTCAAGAACTTGCATAACAAGGGAAGGGAACTTAAAATGAAGCATATAGATGTTAAATTATTATATATAAAATGGCAACTAAATCAGCAGCACAAAGCATATTATAGGTCAGAATTTATATATAAAATTATTATAATTTAAATGTTATAATTCAATTATTTCAGCTCTGTTTATAGCTAATTTCTTCAAATTTAGAATCCTAGTACAATTTATATGCTTTCTACTGAACCATCTGCAACAAACTTTCAAGATTAAATACCTGAAATTTTTATGTCGGTTTAAGTTTTTCAAATCAAGCCTAAAATATATCCCGTCAATGAACACATCTAATGCAAACCAACAATGCCACAAATAGTTACTGAACAAAACACTAGTTTCAACAGAACACCAAACACTAAAATCCCCAATTCCCATATAATAAAAGATTGAAAAAAAGAGAATAACTGAAATTGAGAAGCAAAATCCGTGGAAACTGATGAATGCTGATCAGCTTTAGCTATTGCGTCCATTTTTATTGTGATTTGTGGGAGCAGTCTATTCTCTCACTGCTGACTTCTAATATATTTTAAACCTATTACCTTTTTCACGGCTAGCCGGTTATAAGTGGCTATCTGAACCATAGTTATTAAATCGGGCGGACCAGACTGGTCAATCCAGATAACTGATGAATCAGTTTAAAATCAGAGTTTTCCTTTCAAAGCATTTAAAGAATAGAATCAGATTGAAACGGCTGATATGGTTAAATAGTTCGATCTACACAAATCCAATTGATTTAAACTGATTTTTTATATTTTAATTATTTTTTATATATTATAATTTTTTAAATTATTTATAATACTTTTTAAAAATTTTTTAAATTATAATTATTTAATTAAATATATATTATTAATATTTTTATGATCCATTATTCAACCATTAAGCTATCGGTTAAACCATGAACCATTCACCCAGTCCTTTAGCCGGGTCACATCTGGACTGGATTTAACAACACTGATTTGGACTAAAGTGAAATCACTGCTACCTGTAACTTCTTTCTACTTGACGGCGTCGCAGCGAGCATCTCATATTTAAGTCTCACTTTTACATACCTAATTGAAAAACCCTAAGCCCTATTTCCTTTTATTCATTTTCTCTTCCGTCGAATACAGTAACGAGACAAGACAGAACTCGGCCCCAACTCCCAAGTCATCTAGTCGCTCCCCTTCACACTCAAACGAAAGCATTGATAAAATTTGGCTATATCTGCGTTTGGTGAGTAAGGAATTTTCTTTGATTTGTTTTCTGTTCTCATTAATTCAGTGGTTTTAAAATCGAATTCAATGGTATAATAGTTCTTTGATTCTTGCTCCCAAATTTATGATTGTTTTGTTATTCTCGGTTGAAGTTATAAACTTGTGATTCCAAAACTTGTGATTCCAATTGCACAGTATGAATCTGAGTGATGGCCTTTTGGATCATAAAATCAGAGTTGGTTTACAATATAGCTGTTGATTAATGAAATTCGGTGTGCTGTTGCTTTCAGCTTTATTTTGCTTGTGAGACTTTTATTCGAATCGCTTCCATGAATGTTTTGGTGAAGGAATTCCTTGAAACTTTTGAAAGGAAAGGATTTTTTTTCTTTGTTTTGTGTTGGGGGGTTCAGTTAGTATAGCTCAGATTTCGTACAGAAGTAGGGATTATATTAGTCAGTTCTGGAATGGTTTGGATTTTGTGAATGACAAAAGATTGTCGGATGGGGCAAAAAGATTGTCGGATGGGGCAATTTTTATTCCCGTTGCTATTCTATTCCTATCTTCTGTTTTTTAATTAGATAATAGTATTTTACAAAGAAAATAGAGAAAAGATCATGGCTTGAATTTACATTGATTATTGTGATTTTGCTGTTTCATGTGTTGAGTTTCATGCCATGGAATTTATTCCTTCTTTTTATAGTCTGTTATCATGTTCATATCGGACCTCTTTTTTCATGGGTTTATGCTGTTAGGATTATATTGTTAAAACTTTTTAAATGGCTTTTTTGAATGAATATATTACATCATAAATCAAATGTTTTGTTATTCCAGAATTTGGGTTATCAATCACAATGCAGTCTGGTGAAGCCCCTTCTTCAATGGAAGTAGAAAAGGTTATAGATGAAACATCTTTGCCGGCAAAGCCAAAGTTTGAGCCTTTGAAGGCTCATGAGATGTCTGATGGTCGAGTTCAATTTAGGAAGGTTGGTTTCGGGTTCCACCACATAGGTATTCACCTCTCAAGAAGCGGTGGATCGGATATTTACACTCCTGTATATGAGCAAGAAAGATTGATATCCGTATGACCTCAAGGGTAGAAGGTTGAAATTAAAAACCAAGATCTGATACACCAGAATGTTAGTAACCTGCAGTAAAACTGTGCCGATTTTGTACAGTGCCTTCATGCTAGGCTTTGACATTGTTATAGACTGCTATTCTGCACTAACCTGCCGATTGGGATGATACTATAGTGTGGACTCTTTCGAAATCAAAGATGTTAAAACCCTTAGAGGTGAGCACTTTGTCTCGATGGGCCCTTTGGGAAAAGACTCTCAGGTAAAGGAGGCAAAACAAAGTTTGCTATTGAGAATGTACAAAAACAAGAACTTGTGCATAGCTGACACTACAATTCACATATTAGGATTTTTCAAAACATTAAATTGCATTAAAATTGCTAGAGATTCTCTGTGCAGCCTCATTTTAGGGTCTCCTGCTGGAAAGGTATACTCGAAGCTTAGACAAGTTACTGCCAGATTGGCTGAGAGGTTCTGATAATTGTATTTGTCATTATAGCTCCATTTGAGATTTGATATGCTGAATTTTGTGATTTTAATTGTAATTTGCATTTTTGTCTTGGTGGCCTTGTTGCCACTTGCTGAAACGATTCATTATAAAGAATATCAATGCCATTTGTTGTTTTCAGCTGAAATTAGAATTGATAATGCTTTTGATTCAGTGTCTTGTGTTTCAATCTCTTGTTGCTTCTACTGCTACTGCAACTCTGATTACACTAAGGCCATGTTTGGTATGATGTAATCAACTCTGCAATGGAATGAGGATTATATTACATGATTGATTATATTGTTTGGTTAAATTTTTTTAGACAATGTAATGTAATTGAGATTTAATGTGTAATTTTCATTACTTAATTTGATGTAATATTTATTACATCAAAAAAATACATGTATAGCTTATTACATCAAGTACATGTAATACCAATTACATCAAGTTATTCCAATAAAAACTTTACCATTCAAGCTTATTTAACACTACCACCGCTCCACCATCGTCGCTCCACCGCTACCATCACTACAGCGCCACCATTGCTACCACAAGCTTAACTACTACTCCACCCATACCACAATCTCCACCATCGCTCCACCACCACTGTGCCACAACTACCACCACCCTCACCATTACCTCCACCACCATCACCACTATCGCCCTACCACCGCCATGACCACCACTCCCACAACCACCATTGCTCCACCTCAATCACCACTACACCTGGCCATGGTTAAGGAACCGAATAGAAAATTGACGGTTCCAATTTCGGTTCCTTAACGATTCCAAAAACCGACGGTTCCGGTCCGTTTTTTGGCGAATCGCATAATTGTAAAATTAAAAAGTAGAGATTTTTTTTTTCAAAATTCAAAATTTAAAAATTTGTGAAATGATTTCTAAAAAAATACTATTAAAAAATTAAAAAAATGCTTCAACTTAATTTATTTTTTAAAAAAAAGACTTGAAATTAATTTATTTTAAAAAAAAAAATCGTCAGCTTAATTTATTTTTTGTTTAAAAATGCTTGAACTTAATTTATTTATATTTGTCGGAGTGAAATCGAAAATGTCGTTTGTAAGGATAAATGAATATTATGTTTCTCCAATCTTTCCCTTGTCCTTAGCGGAACTTGAGTTTCTTCTACTTGCCATTATAGGAAAATAATATGTAACTTGGAAAATTGAATAAAAAAAATTAGAGAGAATGATTAGAGATTGGAATTTGAAGAAATTAATTCACAATAATTTGGACAAATAATTAGAGATTGGATTTGGAAGAAATTATTTGAATATTTTGAACAATAATATATGAATAAAAATTAGAGAGATTGTAGATTAGAGAATAATATAGAGTAAAGAGAGTAGAGATTATTTTATGTGAAGGGATTGTAAATGGAATGAGATATTTATAATAAATTAAAAAAATTATTTTTCCATAAATACCCTTAAATATAAAATTAAAAAATTATTTTTCCATAAATACCCTTAAAATTAGCCGTATGCAGCCGTTTCATAGTTTGTTCGAGGGGTAATGGGAGATTTCACAAACTAATTTGAAAAAAAAAAAAAAAAAAAAAAAAAAAAGCTGCTGGAACCGATTCCAGCTTAAAATTCAAAATATACTTGGAACCGACATTCCAAAACTGGTGGAACCGGAACCGAACGGTAGGCCACCGGTTCTGATTCCGGTTAGGACCGATTTCAGTTTCAGCTCCCATCGGTATGGAACCGACGGTTCTGGTTCTAAAAACTGAAAAATGGCCGGGTTTAATCACCACCACCACCTTGCCACTGCCACAACCACCACTGCTCCACCACCCTCATCACTGCCTTAACCACCACTACCATCGCCTCAACCGCCACCACCACTACCATTGCTCCACCACCTTAACCACCATCGCTCCTCCACCTCAACTACCACCACTCTCACCACCACCGTTGCTCCATCACATCACCACCGTTGCTCCATCACCTCAACTACCACCATCACCACCAGCGCTGTACCACCATCATCACCACCACAACCATCACTTTGCATTGTTGCCACCACCACCTCAATCACTCTACCACGACTACCACGACCACCACAACCACCACTCTACCACCACTACCACCACATAATAAAAATTATATTTTGGTGTTTAATATGCAACACAGAATAAAAATTTTATTTTATTATTTTATTTTATTATAGGAATGAGCAGAATAAAATAAAAAATCACTAAAAATATCAAAATATCCATAATTTTGTATTGTAATTTATTTTACTCAAAGAAAATATATGATAAAAAGTTAGTTTTTAATGATTTGATTCACTTTTATTTTGTTATATTACATTAGGAGTGAGCATTCGGTTCGGTCAATTTGGTTAATTCGATTAGTTTGATTAATTCGGCCAGTTTGGTGCGATGAATAAATGTTCGGTTAAAAGTTTGATTAAAGAAAAATAAATTTAAATTTAAAAATTTAATTTAACCGAATTAATCACATTAATCGACTCTCAAAATTACGTCATTTTGGTTAAGCAGATAGTAAAATTAAAAATTAAAAATATTTCAGTTTTTATTTTGATTAAGTAGTAATTAATAATTTCAGTTAATTTTTATTTCGGTTAGAGTCGGTTAATCATATATTTCAATTAATTCCATCGGCTGATTAAGCTTTTATTTTCTTCAACTTTGGTTCAGTTAAGAATCAAAATTAATTCAGCCAAATGATTCGGTTAAGTTCAGTTAAAAAATTAATTCGGTTAAATTCGGTTAAGTAAAAAAAATTTGATTTCTTTATTTTGGTTAAAAATTTTACTCAAATTGGCCGAATGATTATCCCTAAATTATATATTTTTTTTCTGCTTACGTTCTTTTAATTTTTTTAGTTCAAATAAATTTGTCTGGCTTACGTTCTTTTAATTTTTTTAGTTCAAATAAAATTATAAATAAATAAATTTATAAATCTAAATGATCTTTAATAGCTTAATATAATGAATAGTTTTTAGTTCAGATATTTCTTTTGTATTAATAATGATGTGGTAGAGTGGTGTTTGAGGTGGTGGTATGGTGGTTGTGGTGGTGGTGATAGTGGTGGTAGTGGAGTGGTGGTGGTATTGGTGATTGGTGGTTATGATGGTGGTGGTGGAGTGGTGATGGCAGTGTGATTAGTGGTGGTGAAGGAGTGGTGGTGGTGGCAGTGTTTTAATTACATTACATTATATATTTACAAACAATAGAAAAATAGAATGGTGATTACATTCCATAAATTTTATCAATTATATTACCAAACATGGTAATGAAATCTTAATTACATTCCATTTCATTACATTTTTTATTGCATTACATTTTTTATTACATTACATTGCATTACATCCAATCAAACATAGTGACAGTACTTTCGCAAGTGTACGAAATCGCTAGAAATAATACATGATGAGTAGAATATCATTCCCATGATGATTGTATACCAAGTACCAAAATTATATTAACATATTATTATTTAGACGATAAATGAGGAAATTGTTTTAAGAATGTAAATTCAATAAGTAAAATAAGAAGAAATCAAGTAAGCAAAATTTGATTAAAGAAATCAGCAAATTTGATTAAAGAAAATCAAGGCTTAAAAAAAAACTACTAGGGATTTTGATTTCACACTTCTATCCAATTTTTTTATTAGTTTATTAATCAATTTTAAGAAAATTATTCAAGTAGGGGAAACAGACTCAAAAATCACTAAACAAGCTCTCCGATGTATTTTAGCTATTTTAATTCTATTTAATTTACCTATCTTTCCCTAGCATAATTAAACCGAATCAAATTAATTAAGTTTTGTAGTTGTTTAATGAAATGTCATAAATTAAAAGTTTGCTAATTCATAAAAAACCCCCCCATAGTCCAAACCATATAGCCTTCGCCTCAAGTTATTATTCTCATGTGATTCATTTAACTTTTTCATATAAAAAAAATCCTTCTCGCGATAGTAATTAATAAAATAAATCAATCCAGGGGGATATAGAGCATTAAGTTTATCAATAAATCATAACTTGAACAAGAAAACAATCTAATATTATAAATTGGAAATTAAGCTACATCAAATCCCTAGTATGAGAATTTAGTTAGACATAGTGCTTAAATAAAACTCAATAATACTTGATAAATATTTCATAATTAATCAAAATAATGAAAGAAAATAACAAGATTAAGGGTTTAGAAATAAGAACTAGTTAACAATTAACTCTGAATGCCTTCCTTGAATCTTTGCACAACTCTTAAATACTTGAACTCTTAAAGAAATGAAACTATATACAAGACATACAAGACAAAGAGAATGAGATCTGGGATAAGATAGAATGGAAAATGGGATAATCTGGGAGGAACTCTTCTTCTCTTTATATAGACTTCTTGGGAGAGAAATCCACATGGTTTAATGAACAAAGTCCACCTTTGTTAGGTGATAAAGTTCTCATTTAGGCCTTAAATTTCTTCAAACATGCGCATAGATTAGAACTTGATTAGCATGTGAAGAAAGTTGTCCAAGATTATCTCCTGAATTTGGTAGAAGTTGGTTGGCAATTTTGACTTAATTCAGGCTCCTGATCTTTGGCACGGGCGTGCTAGGAAGCACGGTCGGGGCGTGCCAAGCTTTGGCATTGTGGAGGGCTCAGCACGGGTCGTGTTGTCTAGCACGCTTGAATAGGGTCTGGTGGCACGGGCGTGCGCCCTAGCACGGTCAGGGCGTGCTAGGCTCTGGAAGTCCAAGGTATTTGTAGCACGGGCGTGCTATCTAGCATGGCTGGGGCGTGCTAGAGTCTGACTCTTCACTTGATTTTCCTTGGTTCTTAGCACGGGCGTGCCGATTGGCACGGGCTAGGCGTGCTAAAATATTTTGCTTCATTTTTGTCTTTTTCTGTGCCAAAACCCTACAAATTTTCTTAAGATCAAGTGAGCTGTGTTTCATTTTCTGTGCCAAAACCCTACAAATTTTCTTAAGATCAAGTGAGCTGTGTTTCAAGGAAACTTTTAAATAAAAACATAACAAAATTAAATAAAAACTTAATTTAAATAAATTAAAAAAAATACTAAAATCTTAATAAGAATTACATTAAAAATACTATAAAAATAACACTATCACATAGCATAAGTAAAACCTCTAAATAGACTAAAACATGAAGTATGTTTTACCTAATTGACAAAACAAGTTCCCTTAATATATCATATTTTTGAATTCAACCTATTTTGGCATTTTTTTTTTTCATAGGACAATACTCTTTGTTCTCTCAAAAATTTTAATGTAGATGTAATCCTCATTTACATCTTTTGACTAATAATTTCAATTTATGGAAATTTCTTTCTTTATTAGGAGTTAATTGGAATTCTTTTTACAAATCTCATGTTGTTTCCTGCAATTTTTTAGATAAACTCATGGTTATGCTATCTATATAAATATATAATTTTAAAATATGGATGTTGATGTGGCAAATGTAACGTTTTATCTTTTTCTTATTATATATAATTAATCTTTTTTTTTTTAAATTTAATCGGCATTAAGTTTTTTTTATTAAATAATGAGTTACAAATTAATGAAATGTAACGGAGTTATAATGGATTCCATTATAATTGATATTTTGTTTTGCATTTAACAAACATTAAGTTTTTTTTAATAAATAATGGAATCATAAAACTAATGGATCAATATAATGGAGTTATAATTAATAAGCATTAATTAAATAATTAAGTTACAGTAATATTATGGTGAACTAATATAATTAAAATATAATTTCAATTCACTAAAATTTATTGCACTGTAATTAAATCTTCTTATACCTTATTTAATTGTAGAAAATTAGTAAGTATTTCAGTTAAATGTATGAAAATTCTAAAGGGAAAATAAATAATTATATCAGTTGCATTACATAAAAACCATGTATTCGTAATAATTTTCTTGAAGCAACATAAATATATATTGTAATAATTTTCTTAAAAATTATCTATTCAAATCAATTAAAAAATATAAAATTACACGATTCGTCCATGGTGAGTACATGACTAGTTGGGATTATATATATCCGTTGCACATAAAAGCTGTATTTTGGCTGCATAGAGAACTAATGTCATGAATCTCCTAAAAATTGACTTAATTATCACAGATAAATTAGAAAGAAGAATCAAGAAGTACCAGTAAAGATCTTTCCAAACATTATTTACATGTAAAATATATGCAATTCATATATAATTAAGGAGATGGCATTATTACAATATAAATAATGTAGAAAATGCAAATTATATAATAATGTATGTAAAAAGACAGAAGACTATAAGTAAATAACATTGAAACTTTCTGCAGTTCAGTCCAGTCCCCATGAATATGGTAGCTGCAACAGAAATTGGAAATAAGCAAATGAGAACATGAAAGTTTTAAAAATTTAAATCTCATTGTTAGGATTGTATTGGGAAATTAATTGGATAACAACATGCATAAATGATAGGCCAAATGCATAAATTTGATCTTGTATTTTCGACGATTATTCTGAACTTCGTAGAGAATCCATCATAACCCCACACTTTCATATTAAGATGCCACAAGGATAATTGACCAAAATTCAGGATTAAATTTATATATTAGGCTATAAATAATATGCAATAGGTAATTCATTTAATTAGTGGGTGGGGTCTAAAAAGGCAGCAATAAAACCTAAAAGAATTCTTGCTTAAATATTGGAATATATGTACAGTCTGTTGGACAAAATTATCTGTTTTAATAGTAGTTATCTGTTTTAGTAGCATTTAACTATTAGCCATTTGAGTAGCTTTTTATAAAACTTTAAAAGCTAAACTTTAAATAAATTAACTTTTTATAAAACGCTACATTAACCTCTAAAATCTAGTTCAAACGTTGTGTCAATGAATACTATAAAAGTTAAATTGAATAGTAACTAACAAGTAGTTTATTTACCTTAGTTTGTAAAAAACTCATAAGCATGTAGAGGCAGCATAACTTCCATTAATGGACACTCTAGTCTTCTGCTGGATAGGAAGAAAAAGATTTCCTTAATTTCAATGTAAGAGCTAAACTTTTGACACAGCAAATGGCAAAAAGTAAAAAACAAGATGATTTTATAGTTAAAATACGAAAGTATATCAGAATTGAACTTAGGCTTATGCTGAAAATTTACTTGAATTCTAAAGTGACCCTTTATTACTTTAAATATATCGAAACAAATCCAAAATTAATTTTTTAATCAGTTTAGTCCTTAAATTTTTATTTTTTAGATCAATTAGTTTCAATTTTTATTAAAAGGAAAATTATATTAAGTAAAGAATCATAAATACACTCTTTTATTTTATTTTATTTTTCAATTTTCCCAAATCATAAAGCCTGATATTAAATGTATATAGTTAATTTGAACTTTAATTAATCTAAATAAAAATTAAATGAAGGGAGAAATAAGATTACTTGCACTTAATCATCACTGTCAAGCGAGGATTGAATGTTGTAGCCATCAACAATAACTTGAGGAATATGAGCAATTTTGGACCAATCTTCACCCTTTTCACGTTCACATCTAGCCATCAACAATAACTTGAGGAATATGAGCAATTTTGGACCAATCTTCACCCTTTTCACGTTCACATCTTTTTCCCAATGCAAAACAATTTTCAATCTTCAGTTGTTGAAGAGAAACTATGTTTTGCAGGCATGCAGGTAATTCTTCAAGATTAGAACAATCTTCAAGATGTAAGTTTTGTAGAGTGTACTTGGATCCTTCGAGAAGCCAATATGGAAAATTCACTAATTTTGGCAACTCTGCAAGTGCCAAATTTTGAAGGCTGAGTTGATTGAAATTTTCCTCATCCACCATGTCCAAGTCAATATTTTCACAACCGCCAATCATAAGAGTTTTTAGTGAACTTAAATATTTTATGCTTGGTGGCAAACAAATTAAACTTTTACAGTCTATAATAATTAGTTTTTGAAGTTTGCTAAGACCTTGCATATCTTCACACAAGTATTTTAGATTTTCACAATCAAAAATGAACAAAAAGCGAAGAGATTTCAAGCATCCAATTCCATTATTTAACAACCTCTCCTCTTTTGTTGTCATTTGTAAAAGTCTGAGGCTAATCAAGTACTTTATATTAGCGGGCAACTCTTCAAGTCCCTGACAAAGTAACAAAGCTTGTAAATTTTGCAACTTGCAAATAAAATCAGGGGCTTTGATAATCTTAGAATTTCCATGTAAATGGAAAAATCTCAAATGCTTTAAAGTGCCTATTCTCTCTAATGGGACGTCTAATTTCAACTGACTTAAATCCAACATCCGCAAATATTGAAATCTTGACCAATTTACGTCCAACATTAATTTGCTGTTAAGATCCCTTTCCTCACTCATAAAAACAATTGTTCTTGCACGGTCTAATCCTTGTAAAATCGTGGAGAGATCTTGAGGAAGTGAAGCGTTGTCAGGAAATAACAAATGTCGAACATTTGTGGGGATTTGTCTAGTGCTAGAGGTCACTATTGAATATTCATTTTGTGTCAATGATAATGCAAGATCATGCACTAAATCATGCATTTTACACTTGATAAATCCATACCTTTCCTCGAAATCTTGAAAAAAGCACTTAGATGCTAACTCCTTCAAATAACGCAAACCCGCATCTTCCAATTCCTCATTTTCATTCATCGATCGAACAAGTCCATGTGCTATCCAAACTTGAGCTAATTCAACATGATTATAAACATGGTCCTTTGGATAAAGTGAACAATAAGCCAAACATCTTTTCAAGTCAGACGGCAATTGCTCATAACTTAATTTTAAAACATGTAAAATGTCATTTTCCCCCTGCTCCAATTTCCATAACTCATTGTCTCTTATAGAATTCCAATAATCTTCGTCAGTTTTTGAAAGAAGGAGAGAAGCCAGTGTCTTCACAGCTAAGGGAACTCCTCTACATTTTTTCACAATTCCATCCCCAATTTTCAACAAGTTTGGATAGCGTTTCTCTTGGCCTTCTGTAAATGCAAATTTAGTAAACAAAGCCATAGACTCATCATGAGAAAGACTTAACAATTCATAAGCAGGAACAGAACCCACGATGAGAAAGACTTGACAACTTATAAGCAGGAACAGAACCAACAATAGAAGGCAACCTTGGTTACTACGAGTTGTTACCAAGATTTTACTTCCATTGCCACCCATATACAACAATTCCTTCAATTGATTCCATTTCATGGGGTCATTGTTCCAAACATCATCTAAAACAAGCAAATATTTCTTCTCACCAATGGTTTTCTGTAGGATTTTTGTTAATTGCTCCATTTCCAAATTGCTCAAGTTTTCTGTCTCAAGTCTCATACCATTGGTCGTCGATTTAATAATTTTCTCTGTTAATATTTTTATATCAAAATCTTCTGATACACAGACCCACATTTTAACTTCAAATAATCTCTTTACTTGATCATCATTGTAAATCAGTTTAGCAAGTGCAGTTTTGCCCAAACCTCCTATTCCAACAATTGGAATAACAGATATTTTCCCATCCTTCATCAAAAGTTTGATGATGTTTTCTTCAAAAGTTTGATGATGTTTTCTTTATCTGTGTCTCTTCCAATGATATCAGAGGCTTGCATATAGGAGTAGGTCATCTCCCTTGTCCTATGCACAAAGTATCTATTTCCATGTTGTTCATTGAGATGAAATTTAGCTCTATGACTTGCAATCTCATCTAATCTTTCTCTTATTTGCTTTATTTTTTGACCCATTTTAAAACGAAATACAAGTGGATTAGAGGATGAAAAGAAGCGGCCAACCTGAAATTCAAATAAGTATAATATAAATTTAGAGAAAGAAAGAGGGTCGAGTTTAGTGAGTTCAGATTGCAGATGAGTCGCGTTATTCATTTGATTAACTATTAAAGTGATTGCCCTGAATTATATTGAACGGAGTATCAACTTCAATTTGTAACTTAAAAATACCCCATCTTTAATTTATGTAACAATAAAATGTTTATGAACATAATTAAGTATTTCCGCTAACCGGAATGTCACATCTTTGACAAGTAGCAATTTTTTAATGGGATGATGTGTAAGTTTTGGTGTCTGACTTGAATTATTTTTTTTCCAATTTGGTATCTACTGATGAAGTGGAAAGCCGAATTGTCTAGTGGGACGAATTAAGACCCACATATGTCTACGTATGGCCTGACTTTTAATCTTATGTAAGCTATCTAACGTGGTAAATATGATTAGATTACCGATTTATAAAAGAAAATTTATAAAAAAAATTGCAATCTTATGAATAATAGTTAAAATTTTGATTTCTGTTTTCTTTCTAAAATAAATGATAATAAACTTTATATATATATATATAGGATATTAGTCTATAATGCTACATATAGTATAAATCTTATATCTAGGATATATAATATGAAGAGAGTGAGAATCGGAGGGCAACATGTCGGCGCGATCTATAATTAGTATCGTACGTTAGGAAATTAATATGGTTTCCAGACAAGTAAATAAGACAATAAATAACTTTTATATATCTATATTTATAATATAAATTTATAACTATAATTAATATATATAAAGTGAAAATGAGGGAGGGAATATTGTGATTGTCAAAAACGCTCATTCTAAATTTATCGATTGAAAAGAATATCATTAAAGATTTTAATTTGATTAATTGGTTGAAAAAATAAAGATACTTTAATTTTGATTGATCATATTAAATTTCTATTTAAATCTAAATTCTATTGAATAAATAAAATTGTATTATATATTATACAAGGTATATATTACATGCCGTAAGAAGTTTTAAGGATTTTAATTTTATTGGTTGAAAAAATAAATGTAATATAATTTTGAATGCTTACATTATACTATATAAGGTACATATTAAATATGGTTACATATTATTAACTATAGTAAGGTTACAGTTATTAAATATGGTAATAACTACAAAGTACATTTAGTTATTATTTTTGATAGAATTCTTTAATGTTAATTAGTTTATCAATTTATTTCCCTACAGGTAACTATGCAATATATTATGTATTTATGTTTCCCTATTTTATATCAAATAATAAATCGTTATAATATATTTTCGTTAATAAATAAATAATATACGTTGGCATAGTATTGAAAATATGGTAAAAATACATACAATTTAGTTATTATTTTTGATAATCTTTAATTAATTAGTTATAATCATATTGGATAAACTAATCTAAATTGAAAGATTTATCAAAAAATAATAAGCCTAAATTGTATTGGTATTTTTACCAATATTTTAATAATATGCAATATATTGATTTATTTATTAAGAGAAATATATTATAGAGAGTTTATTATTTGATATAAAAAGTAGAATAAAATCACGTAATATATATATATCCATATAGTGGATATAATACCTATGATATAATACGTTATATTAGCAAACCATATAATATATTGAAATAATTTTTGTTCTCAAAAACAACAATCATAAAATTAATTATATACTTATAGACTTTAGGGAAAAGTTAAAAAAAAATATATAAAAAAATTATAAATGATGCTCTAAAACAATGATTATTATATTAATTATTATAATAGCTAATACTAATTTCTCATATTTAAAAATTAAAATCACGAGTATATGCAATAAGTACTAACGTGCAATTCAAAAAAACTATTTATATAAAAAATTATAATACGTGAAAATGTAACTTTTTACGATTCATTTAGCATTATATAACAAAAAATTAAATATTGATCGAGAAATATACAATTAATAACCTTCTTCAAGTTTAACAAAATTGACCTATCGATGTCTTAATTTTAAAACTAATTAATAATATAGATCTTACTAAATAAAGAGGCTTAGACAACTAAGTTAAATGTTTTGTACATAATATTTATAATTCTAATATGATTATAGAAAATTAATGAGAAATAATTCATTTTTATTTTCAAACTAAATGGTTGTCCATGCTATTGAAAGTTCTCTTCTAAATTATATGACTTTAAATATGTATTTATACAAAATTGTGAGCTGAAACCCAATCATTGTTGCGAAATATTTATTTTTACCGACTAATTGGAGAATACAGAACTAGCTTAGCTTTTTTTTATTATTTTATGTATAGAAGAAAAATAAATAATAATAACTGAATTGAATTGATTGTATAATAATTAAATAAGTTAATGCAAAAAGTATATTTATTATAGTATCATAATATTGATTTTAAAAATTTTACAGTAAAAAAAAAAAATTTGTATTTTTATTATTTTATATATGTCAAACAGGTGACAGTTGCGGGTCTAGTTAATGGATCGGGTCTTTGAATGAGGTCAACAAGTTATTTTATATATGTCAAACAGGTGACAGTTGCGGGTCTAGTTAATGGATCGGGTCTTTGAATGAGGTCAACAAGTTAACCTCCTAAGTTAACCCGCAAATTGATCCTCACCAGAGTTGGGTCATTCAGGTTTAGACTCAGTAGAGTTTGGGCGAACAGATTCAGGTTGGGTTTTACAAATTGGATTCAGATATGGTGAAAAGTTATGTATTCTAAATTTCTTTTGGATACATGAAAGGTCTAATGGATTGAATGCAGCAGGAGTAACTCTTTCCTTTGAATAATATCACTAAAACTCAAGACCTGTAACTCTCTATTTTTGTTATAAAAGGTAGGAAGACCAATCAGACCACACTTAATCGGAGAAGTATTATTAAACTAATACGTTAATGTAATACTAATTGAAATTATTATTACTTATACGTTAATGTATATATATTGAAATTATTAATTACGACTGTTTCTATAGCCATCCGTGAATGTGTCCTTTCTCTGTAACTTTGAATTCTATGATGGCCGTTTCTGTTTTTACGTGTTCTAACGTGCTAACTAGTACTTTGCTCATGGCCCATTCGAATACTAGTAGCTGGCATGTTGAAAAAACAAGAAAACCAAAAGGACGAAACAAAGGAGGAAATTGCCAATACCAAATTTTTCTGGCGTTAGTCGATTATAAAGTACTAAAATTTGATACTATATGAATGGAGAATAACTTATATATAGTTCGATGTACTGAATCCATCCTAATACACCACAATCAATCTAAAAATGATTTTATTGAAATCAAATGAAAGTAGTTCTTGTCTGATGCGATATATAGCGCAATTAGTGTTTAAGGAGTCTAGAACCTGTTTCTATTTTTCTCTATCTTGCTTCCTCTAATTTTCTCTCTGTGCCAACTCACTCCTACGTTTAAGGTTGTTTGCTACAATTGGGTTTTCCATCATCCAACACATTTAAGTAACTCCTGTAATGAGACAAGACGCACCACTCACCTATTATTCTACAATTCAGGCCTACTCCTAAGCAATATTTTCTAACATACACCGGACGATAAAAGAATAAGAAGTAGATCCTTTTTTTAAAAAACCTTTTAAAATAATTCTGATGCCAAAATCTTACTCCTGTCACTGATGTGAGTATGAAAACGTTAAGAGGTGTTACCTTTTTTCTGCGTGCTCCCAGTATATGCTTAAGGACCTCATCCTTCTCTTATCGTCTCGCACGGTCTTAATTCATCCAAGACATCTTCATGCAATCGATAGAAGGGGTCTTTAAGCTTAGCAACCCAAAGGGCGCACTCGCGGTCTTCGTTCCTGCTGGTCTCCTATCTTGCATCTAATAGCACGAGCCTTCGTAGTAAGGTTTGACAAGATATCCTCTAAGGCTTTTTCACATTCGCTCAACGCCCTGCAAAGATCAGATCTCTTTGTGAAGCAACTTAGAAAGCTAGCTCTTTCCAATACCTTTTTTTGCAGTATATTACCAAGCAAATGACCTCTACCGAGCATGTCTTTCAATGTTTGTAGTTTGAAATTATAAAGATGGATTTCGGTTTCTAAGAAATGTAGCTAGAAAGAATTTATGAACATCCCATTTATAGAGTATATCCAATCGTCATACTATGTCGTTAGGCATGAACTAAAGTATGTATTCTTTTCTTCTTTCTTTGCTGGAAATAACTAATATCAAGATGGCTAAGACTCTTTTTGATGTGTAAAGTTGCGTACAGTCCATTTAATGATTTATTTCTCTACACTTCGTCTTAAGTGTTGTTATCATTCCAACTTCGCAACTCTTTTTAACTTGGAACCAGAAAGAGATTTAGATCCACTTATCTGCCACCATTGATAAGGAAAATTAAGTGTATGTCGTAACGAAGAATTCGGGTTTGTCAATTCATGAAGACCCTCATACGAAATATATTATTATAGATGAATGGCCTCACCGTGTTGTTGGGTTTAATGTGAAGATAAGTTTATAGGAAATACTTTTTGTAAAATTTTCTAATTATTGTGGAACGTTCAACTGAAAATATAGTCAATGGAAAATATTTTTCTCAATCTAAATCGCAAAATTAAGTCGTTTTTTAAGGAAAACTAATTTTCCATTTTTGTGAGAAATAAAATTATTTTATGGACATGCTGACAAACCTTATAGAATTTCAATATAATGTTTTAATCTTAATTAATCATCGTTGTAAGTGCATGTACCACCATT